AGAGAGAGAGAGAGAGAGAGAGAGAGAGAGAGAGAGAGAGAGAGAGAGAGAGAGAGAAAGAGTGTGCGTGTGTGTTGATATGTTCCCATGTGATTCATACTCCATTGATATCCGCTGAGAGAAAGTTCAAGAAGCAACTGACGTGTATTTATGGGGGAATGAATTTTCTTAATGTGTCCGTGAGAAACACTTTAACAAAACGGAGGATTTGATTGAAGGAACGGAACTCATTAGGGAGGAAATCATTCAATTTTATTCAACTCAAAACGGATCCCAACCGTTCATATTTCCCAACCGTTCATATTTTCCATATTTATGTAATATTTGACGTCACCTTTTAGCATTACAATAATACAAATACAGAGGTTTTCTGTTCTTTCAGGCGCACGTTTCGTTGTCGTCTTTTTTATTGCCCTATCCACACGAAAGCCTCGGAGTTACCCAAAACTTCCCGGAAATACGACAATTTTCAAAGGAAACAAAACGACTTGTTTTGTCACTTGTCGGTACGCGGTCGTCAAGTCATCCGCATAAAATAAACAGAGCATCAAAACCTATGTACTTTGTTTTGTTTTAATTATGACTTAAGGAAGGACAGGACTGTTGTTCATGATTAAAGGTGGGAACCAAAGATCGATATAAAAAAACAAACAACAAACTACATTAACAAAGATACAAAGACAACTGCAATAACAACAACAACAATAGCAACAACGACAAAGCAACGATGACGACGACGACGACGACGACAACAACAACAATAACAACAACAACAATAACAGCAGCAGCCACAACTACCACAACAACAAAAACAGTAGCAAATAGCAACAACAGTAGTGGCTACGTTATATTTTCCAGTAAACTGGGGTTTGATTTAAATAAAATAGTTTCAAATTCAAAAGTAGAACGAGAGAGGAGAGTTGAAACTAAAGTGACTCCTATTAATGCAAAGACATTACATTCCTCGGCCTTTTAAATACGTATTTTCAGCTATTATTTTGGTATATTCAAAACTTTCCAGAATAATTTTAGTGAACGATAAAAAGCTTACCTGTAATAAAAAGAACTAAAAACACAGCTTTCAAATCCAAACAAAGATAATCCAGTAGGGTATACAGAATACACAGTCTTAACTCCGTCCAAGTCCGAAGTGAAAGTACATCGTGTATTAGCAAAAACAGAATTCAAAAGAAAATAAAGACAAACGTAATCCAAAGGAGACCGAAAGCACAACCAATTAATTATCTGGGTAAACCTTGGTCTTCACTTCAATCAACACCCGCGTCGCTTCGCCTGTTGTAGACATGACCGTGAGCACTGACAGACTAAGTCTTACCACCCCTCCAACGAAACACCCCATCGTCATAAGCCGCCACCGCTAGTAGCAGCCAGCGAATGTTCCACGTTCATGACAGCAGCAACGGCGGGCGCGCGCGTGGGGGGAGATTCTTTTTTTCTTTTCCTCCCCACTGGCTCAGTCGGTACAGCAGGACGAGAGAGAATCGCAAGTTGGTTTCTCTCCAACTCCGAACGAAGTGTGTGTGTGCGCCTGCCGCTCTGCTCTCGAGTCTTGCCTGCCTGTAGATGTTCCGATCCGATCGGAGAGCCACGCGACGTGGTTGTAACGGGATAGCGTCGGTCGGTGGGCTGTCTGTCTGTCTGTCTGTCTGTTGGGACAGGCGGACAGACGCAGATTTCGGGTGCAGGTCATGGTAAAAAGACAGGAATGAGGAACACCGTGGTGGCATAAAACGTGCCCCGTCGCTATTTAAATGGAGGAATGCATGTTAGCTAAAGTAATCACACGGGATGCCAAGCACGTGCAGAAACAGTTGGGGGTAGCGAGTTTTACTTTCTGCAATAAAAGACTGAATGCGTCGACACGTGCCTGAAGAATAGCTAGGCTTGTGGAAAGAAGAAATAGAAATATTATGGTGTAGGCCTTTACAGAAGTACTGCTATACCAATACCATTGTCTTCTTCTTTCATTCTCGTTTTATCCTTCAATAATAGAACAGAAATTGATCCTTCCCATAATAACACACACATATGTAAACAGTGTGTGCGTTCCATCGCGTAATTGTTATGTAAAAAATTGTTCGTGGGGGGTAAAAAGATGAAAGATCACACCATTTAAGGAAAAGAGACAACTGGAAGGTAATAAAAGGATAAAAAAGGGCGTACAACGACACTCCCCCCCCCCCCACACACACATACACAATTGAAGAAAAAAATAACAGAAACTTATGAAGTCACCCCTAGCAACAATCGTTGAAAATGTTGCTGAAGTTGCTTAAGCAAAGCTTTAAGAATAACTCTGCAGCATTTTGATAAGTTTCTGGAGAGAGCATTTTAAAAGTACCCATCACTAGCTTGTGAAGGGGCATGCTTCTTTAGGCAACAGAAAGACTAAAAGAAAGTCAAAGAAGCAAGTCACAAAACAGGAGTAAGCCAGCTAATTCATTACTCTATTACATTTGTAATTATGTCTCGTGGAGTAGAAATCTCCTTACGCGAAGGGTATCATTAAAATAACTTTGCAAGAAAAATAACTACTTATATAATTTGTGGGAAAGTACGGAACGATAATAATTGCAGACAACTGGGGTACTGTAAGATAGTAGGCATAGATCGGCCTAAGAAAATCTACTTCCCTTTGTTTAAATAGAGAAATGGCAATTGAAAAGAGGGGGGTCTCTTTGTCTGCGGTGACCCAATTGACAACATTCATTACAGTGATCTTAATTGCTGTCCGAGCAGCTCAGGACCTTACTGTGGTGATACAGGTTGAGGTCAACTTGAGCCCACCACCCTCTATTTTCCTTATACAACACACACCCAAGGTCTCTACAATGGGCTATGGGCTTTGTGGGGCCTACGAAGGGGTTGGTCCAACACCGTGTTGGTTCAAAGTGTCCGCAAGAATCAAATATCCTTTGGTTATTCCTGGCAATGTAAATGTAAGGGTTATTTCGGCTCGTCTTAGATCTTCTCTCATTATATCTAGTAGAAACAACCCAGCAGTGTTTGTACGGACGTAGTTAGTTAGTTAGTTAGTGTGTGTGTGTGTGTGTGTGTGTGTGTGTGTGTGTGTGTGTGTGTGTGTG